TACATATATATATATATATATTTGATGTTTTATTTAAATAAATAAAATTTTGTTTTTATATTTATATGCGTATTATTCGTTTTTTGAATATTTCAAGAGCATTTTTAAAAAATAAATAAGCTCTAATTTCACGGAACGAATTTCGGTAATTTTTTTTCAGTTCTGCTACTTTTCTTAATTCCAACCATTTACAATGTAAACTGATAATTATTATAGCGAAGGATCTTGGCAAACACTTGACCGTATCAAATCGCGTCCAACGTCATCAAACGATATCGAATTTCGCGTGTTATTTAGCAGGTCCGAATGATGGGCAAACCCAATAAGTCTCGACAAGCGTGACAAGAGCGTCGGGTTTTTTTCGCAAGGGATCTTTGAACATGACGATTAAACATTTTCGTCTGAACATCAGGAACGTGCAGTCATTCTGCACGTGGCCACTGCAACAATAGACAGATACAGGGGAAAGCGGGCGAGATGCAACCCCCGCTATCTAATAGCTGGGCATTAAATTTGTCAGTAATATTGCCAGGGGAGTCGCTCTTGTCCTTGCCCTTTCCAGATCATGAATGGAGCGAGACAACTAAAATATGCCGCCGTTCGTGCTTTCATCCCCTCGTAACGTTGCGAGGGATACGGCTCGAATAAATGCCGAACAATGGAAAGGGAGATGTGAAGACACTGTTCGAATAAACCTCCGCGCTTTGAGATGTTCTTTTTCACCACATACACGCCAGCAAAATTGATGATGATCCAACTACTTGGTGATAATAAAAAATGATAACAGAAAAATATAATCCACCGGAAAAGACATTAAAAATATAAAAAACAGACGTAAGTCATGTTACAGGCGTCAAGTATATTTTACAATCCTACGCAAAATCATTTTAGAAATATACTTAAAAACATAATGAAAAAACTCACAAATTTTCGCAAAACCGTTTTATAAATTAATTTAAAAACGTAATGAAAAAATATCAAATATAATAATATAAAAGAAATGAAATCAAAATGAAAATAAACAAATAAAATAATAGTAGTGAGAAGTGAGACCAAAACAGTATCTATATATAAGAAATATATTGCTGTGTCCTTCGCTACTTTTGGTTCTCTCAGTGTGGGGGAACAGCTGAGTGACGGAAAATACGGATAAACAATTGAGTTTCGCTCGAGTTGTCATTATGTTTGGATGTTTCTGCTAAGGTTCTGGATTTATTGTATTTATTGTATTTTCCTGCATAATAAAGTTATCGTAATGTCTTTTCTACACGAGCAATTATTTTTCAGCGAGTGAATATTTTCACGAGACACGTGAAAACATGAGTTAGCTCACAAGTTCCGATATGAGTGATCGCCACTTGGATGCAACATTTTAGTCCGCGCGGACGAGCAATTTGTACATTTTAAATGTCTTCTGTACTCTACAGGTGCGTTCCATTTCATGTATGATACGCGTAATGCAATAACTGAACTGCTATAGTAATATCATAAATTAAATTGCTTTTGTAAATTGTATTAATTAATGACAACTCGATCGAAACTCAATTATTTATCCATATTTTCTCTCACTTATTGTTAGCTCCCACATTGGAAGAAAGTGGCGAAGTTCCGAGGACACAGCAATATGTTCTTATATATAATATTATATTAATAGATACTATTTTGTTCCTCACTTCTTTTTCATGCTATTAATTTATTTGGTTATTTTCATATCATTTTCATTTCACAAATTAAATTACTTTGTACTTGTAAATCCGAAAAATCATTTCGGCGCGCAATTCGAGAAAAATTACAACCGTGATATATAAATTTATATAAAATTATTTAAAGCACTTAAAATCCAACTTCGACCGATAGGAGAGAGTGGAGTAGTGGCGATCAATTAACAAAATTATACGATGTGCGGAATAATTAATTATATTTCGTACAGAATTGTAAAGAAAAACTAAATCAAAGACGCTATACAGCAATGGTATATAGGAATCTAATGGTACGAATATGACGATTTAAAAAAAGAATAAAAAATTTTGTTTCACCACAAAAAATAGTCACACTTCATATTATCATGTATGTATGTAACACAGAATGTATAAAACACAAAAAGCAATTTTTTTTATTATATGATATCTTTCACACAATACTTTTTTAAATTTGATTATATTGTTTTTTATTAAGTGCAAACTCCGTAAACTATAATACAACATAATTTTTTTATTATATATACATATTTATTTTATGCATACTACACAAATACAAACCATAGGACAGTGATACACATTATATTGTATTATATAAGCTAAATACAATATGAGTAATATAAATATAAAAAATATTTCTTATTCAATCACAATTAAAGATACATATTTACAGTTAACATATTATTTTCAATCATTGGAACTCTTTGAGTACCGCCACAATCAAAATTTGTATTCATTTCAATCAAATAATTAATAAGTTATTCGATATTGAAGATTTTGACTTGAAATTTTTTTTACAATTCCAATATTTCTGGCAACAGTTCTGAACATAACTATAAGAACATAACTATAAGTTTTACAAGAAATTATTATAGCAGAAGACAATTCGATCAGTAATTAAAAAGTTATTTGCCTTCAAAGAATATAACTTACTAAAATCAATTCTCACAAATTCTTCTTATTACACAATTTCAGTAGTTTTGATTGGAATCCTGGACAGTTTCCGACGAGTTCTATTGAAAAGTATTAAGGTTCAAAGCGATTGGACCAACGGTTTCCGAGATACTACAAAGGAAGAGTTATCAACATTTGTTGAGAGTAGACTAACAAGAAAAATTATCCAAATGTCCAATTAGTTTTGAAAAAAATAACGGTTAGAAGTTGTAGTATTCTATCTTCTATTAACTTCTATCTTCTATTAAATGAGTGCCAGTTTGCTCGGAAAATTTGATATTTATTAGAAGAATGAAGTAAAAGTCCGCTGTAAACAGCTCCGAAAATGAAATCTTTTTCATAAATTTTTACGTTTTGGATTTCTCTATATATGTATGAGTAATATACGTAAGTTAAATAGAAAACTTGGCTCTCAATTCCATTAATGGGCTCCAATGTATTTCTAATTTTTCTACTTTATAGTATAGCAAAACTTATAATGAAATATTTTTAACTTCTCAAATTTCAATTCGTTGAAAACGAATAATAATACTTTAATGGAAATGTAATAAGTAAGAAAATATATGTATGTTTGTTTTCGTCGTACATACATTCGTACAATTCTATAAGTATATCATACCCAAACACAATTCGAACTTTGGGAGGAGTACATAAAAAAAATGTTCAATATCTACTACTAGAACCAAGATCGAAGTTTTCCTTTCTATTCCATTTACGTATATTATTCATACGTACATAGAACAATTTAAAAAGGAAAAGAATTTATAAAAAAATGTCATTTAAACTCATTTTCGGAGCACTTTATAACGGACTTTGAATCCATTTATCTAACGAATATCAAATTTTCCAAACGAATGATATTCATTTTAGTTAATAGAAAATAGGATACTATAACTTTTAACCGTTACTTTTCAAAACTAATTGGACATCTAACTTCCCTTGTGAGTTTTGGACAAGTTCTCGACAAGTTTTATTGAAAAATAGGGTTGGACCAACATTTTGCGAAATATGCGACATTTGTTCGATATTCAAAAATTTTCAAACAATTTTCTTTTTTTTTTCATTGATCGATATTTCTCTTATCATCAGGAACTCTAGATATTTACAAAATAAAGCAAAATTAAACCGCTCAGAATTATTTTTGAATTTTGATAAGAAGTTAGCACCTAATTGCTTAAAAATTATTAAAAAACGGTTATTAAGCGGAACTCTTGCTATATAGGAACTCTTTATCTCATCAAAAGGAAATGGCAACTCTAATTAGAATTCCTGAGTACTACAGTTAGGATAATAACTTCACATATTCTCAATCTTTAATCTTCAATCTGAATCTTCAATGCATAGTCTGATTCCTCTAGGAGCAGCCTCTTTGACTTCGTAAAGTATTACATTAATCGAGATGGAAGTCCTATATCCTAGAATAGAACTATCTTCAGAGCCCTGTAGGCGTTGTAGTTGCAAAAATAGATGAGCCTTTAAAAGAAAAACCTTAAGAGTCATATTCGATTGCGCTCCGAAATATCGCACGATAAACCATGAAAAGTAATAGGAAATAAGATCCCCACAAACCGAAGCGAGAGATAAAATAATATTAACTGTAACTTTTTACAATTCAGAGCACGTAAATGCTCGTTATCAGTAAGTTTTCTGAGACGATTAGAAATTTAACTGATTGCGTCAATTTAACACACTGATCCCTAAATATATAAGTTATAGAGAATATTAGGCAGTTTCCTTTTCGTCGCAAAGATCATCAACTGAGAGATCCATGCCTCTGGCATTAAGGTAAACAACAATACTGTCAATAGAGGCCTGAAGAAATAGGAACGCTGCAGAGAAGCAGCGGAGGAATAGATAACTATGTATATCGTGTTGCAAAATACAAGAATAGATAACTATGTATATCGTGTTATAAAATACAATCTGCATGCAGTTGATTGTTGATGTCTTTGAGGTAAATATCAAACAATATAGAACTAAGATTGGAATCTTGCGGAATGCCCCGATGCATCCGGCGAAGATTCACCAATTCCCCATTGATAATAAAATATACCTCCCTTTCCGCAATAACGTTTTTAATAAATCACCTAATCTCGTC